CTTGGCACCCTTGTCAAAGATCATTTGCCATACACGCAAATGTTTATTTCTGGGTTGTCTTTTCTATTCCATTGGTCTATATGTTTGTCTTTATGCTAGTATCATATTGTTTTGATTTCTGTAGCTTTGTTGTATGTTCTGACGTTGGGAAGTATGAGGCCTGCAGCTTTTTTCTTCTTTTTAGAGTCCTTTGAAATTGCAAATGAATTTTAGGGTTTTTTTTTTTTTTTTCTAGTTCTGAAAAAAATGCTGTAGGGATTTTAATAGGGATTGTCTTGAATCTGTAGATCACCTTGGATAGAATGGACAGCTTAACAATATTAAATCTTTTAATCCATGAACACAGATGTTTATTTATTTGTGTCTTTAATTTCTTTCAGCAGCGTTTTATCATTTTCGGTGTGAAAGTCTTTTTCTTCCTTGGTTACAGTTTTTCCTAAGTATTTTATTTTATTTTTTTGAATGCTATTGTAAATGGGATTGTTTCTTGGTTTTTGTTTTGTTTTCAAACTGTTCATTGTTAGTGTACACCAACACAACTGAGTTTTGTGTGTAGATTTTATATTCAACTTTGCTGAATTCATTTATTAGTTCTAACTGTTCTTTTATGGAATCTTTAGGGTTTTCTATGTATAAAATCATGTCATCTGTGAACAGAAGGTATTTCCTTCTATGCATAAGTCTGATTTAATCCTGTAGGGTAGAGCTTATTATTGCTATTTTATATATGAGAAAACTGGATGATTTTAGTCAATTTTGCTAGGGTGTGCTGCCATTACAAACAACCAATCTCAGAGGCTTAGGACAGTAAAGCTTACTTGTTCATGTTATATTTCCCCTGAGGTCCATGTCTTCTTTCTCCTGGGTTCATGGCTGATTCATGGGGGATGTTGCCATGGTAAAAAGAAAATGTCAGGAATTGAACCTTTTAAAGCTTCTGTTTGGAAGTGGCTCACTTACTCCCACGGAAATTTTACTGGCCAAAGCGGTCACACGGCCACACTGGATTTTATTGGGACAGGATCTGTACTCTTCCCATAGGATGGCCCAGAAGAGAGGGGCTGGTAGGCAGAGGGAATGAATCACTGTAATCTACTATAACATACTGGGACTCAGCAAGACCGGACACTTAGAAAAGGATATGCAGCTGAAACAGCTTAATATTATATTAGATGGGACTATTCAAATCAGGCAGCGGATAGGTAAGAAGTTTCACAAAGGGAACAGTAAAGAAACATTGTGTGCCTTGTCAACGAACTTCATTCTTAGATAACTTACTTCCAGGTATGCTGCTGGTCCATTAAATATACTCATAGTTTATTGCCTTCCTGCATCCTGAAAACAAAACTCTGTGAACGCTGGTTTTTAGGGTCAGGACATGCTCTCTGCATAGCATGATTGTTCTCTCATCCCGAGATGATGCCTTACTGATAGGGCTCCAGGAGCCTCACACCAGGGACCTTACCCCGTGATGTTGCTTCTGCCCACACACACTTTACTATTAATATAACACATTTCTTTGCTGCCCCCGAATAGTGCATTCGCCTGGAGGATATAACCAAATTCTGATTCGTTCTTTTAAATTTTTTCCTCACTATTAGGATTTAAGTGGGCCAGAGCTATTTAGGAATACTTTTTACAAATACCATATTTTTTATGGGCAAAATAGAAGATAATAGAGAAGGAAGGGGAAAATCCTGGTGTGGAAATTTAGGGATCTGGGCTATCATCCTCGCACTACCACTAGGCAGCAGTGTCACTTTGGAGAAATCTGTTCTTTCTAGGTCCCAGTTTGCTTATTTGTAGAGCAGAGAAATTGAACTAAATGATCTCAGACATTTCTTCCAGGTTTCTTAAATGAACCCTGTTCCCTTATTTTCCTTAGTTAAGGAAAGTATATTACTGATAGTTAAATTCCAGTGCCTTGATTTTTCATATGAGGGTTTTTCACATGAGAGGAAAATTTACTCACATTCATGTCACTGCTGGAATTAGATATTTTATATATAAAAATATATAAACATAGTACAATCTTACTTACTTAAACTAAGTAAGAAAGAAGGCCTTTCTGAATCCTTGAAATACCTCAGTTACCCTTTCCGGTTACTTTATGTACTTTATTATCAGTAGCTAAAGTAACAAGTAGTCTACCAAAGCATAGTAGACTTATATTCCCCCACATAGTGGGGGAATTTATTTAAGGACATAGTGCCATATTCATATTTTTGATTGTAAATTGTCATTATTGAACTGAAGTATACTTGAAATAAAGAATACTTGGAATTTTCCTTTTGTGAATATATTGTCATGATTTTCCAATCCTCATTGTCAATAATACAAGCATAACTATAAGATAATGATCCCCGGATTATCACAAATTCAAAATTATTAGCATCCAAATTAATGTAGAAATGAAATCTCATTTAAAAAATGGGTGATAGATTGTTCAGGCATTTGATTGTGGAAACCACTTTGTAAGCACTGTCTAAATCTAAAGTAAAATACAGTGTGCCAGTGCTGAACAGGGCACTTGGGACATATCCTGAAAGTTCTCTCAGTCTTAATCTATCGTTCCATCTCTGCATTTACCGTGTCTGTTTCTGTCTGTCTCTTTAACTCTCTCTACAGTCTCATCCACACACCCACACACACATATATAAATACAGGTCTATTCCTATATACATGCATATGTCATATACCTGTATTGTTAAGGTGGAAAGGAGTTGGAGAGAAGTGGATAGATGTTAGTGGTCTTTGGGAAGTGAAATGAATGGATTTTGCCAATGGATTAGCCATTGTTGAGTGAGAAGCAGAAGTTGTTAAGGATGACTCCTAGGTTTTGGGTTACTAGGCTAGGTTTATGGTAGTGTCATTTGCTGAAATAGGGAAGAAACTAAGAAGAGGACACAGTATGAGTGAAAGAATGCTAGGTTAGTCTTAGGCATATTAAATTTGAGGTGCCTTTAAAACATTCAAGGGAAGTCATATTGAATATTCCTATATGAAGCCGAGCAGGCCGGAGATACAAGATTAGGAGTCATCAGCAAATGAAAGGTAATTAAAGTTGTCTGAACCTTTGAAGAATAAGTAAGTGCCTGATTTTGGGATTATAAATCTGCAAAGAAGATTGAAAAGGAGCAGCCTGAAAGCTAGGAGAAAATCTAGCTTTTCCTCCAGTGTGAGAATTTCAGAAGCAAGAACAATGGTGATGGAGAGGTCAAGTAAGATTAAAAGAATGTTACTAGGTTTGGTGACAGCAGGATGTCACTGGTGATTTTGCAAGAGTTGTATTTTCTTAATGCATTGCCCTAATATTTCTTCACCCAGGACCCTTCCTTGACACCTCAATTCATATTAAATTAAGTCTATCTTTTCACTCGGTGTTTAATGCCTTTGATGATTTAATTGAATTCTAATTTTAGAGCCTTGTACATACAGCTTCTGAACACATACCTGAAACTCCAGCCAAATTTGCTAACTCACCATTCCTTAGGCAGTTGTTTTCCTATGGTCTTTTTCCTCCTGCTTTTGCCTTCACTGTCAGGGAATCTTACTGGTCCTTGGAGACCCACACCAAACAGTATCTCATTCATGTGTCCTTCCCTGCCCACCAAATGGGCTCTCAAGTCTGAACTTCCAGATGCTTTCTTTTCACATCTCAGATTATAGATACATCTTACAAATGATCTTACATTTTTTATTACTTTGTACTTGATCCATTTATTAAGTTAGGAGCTTGAGATTAGAGCCTCATTTCACTGATGTGTTATAGTTTCCAAAGCATCCGTTTTCTAAATAAGTGAATAAAATTTAAAGAATATACTTCACAGAAAACAACCTATATTAGCCACTTTTAGTCATTGTGCCATGTACCTGAAGACATGGTTGTAATTTCATTTAATACTTAGAATAAGTGTATGAAGTAGTTCTCCTTTCAGAAATGCGAAAACTTGCGGTTTAGAGAGGCTTATTTTTAAAATACATCCTTGAGTTAGGGTTTATTATATTTTAAAAGAGGTGCAACTCAGACTCTTAACAATAGAGAACTAATGCATCATTACTGGAGGGGTGGTGGGAGGGTGGATGGGTGAGATAGGTGATGGGGATTAAGGAGGGTACTTGTGATGAGCACCAGGTGATGTATGGAAGTGGTGAATCACTAAATTGTACACCTGAAGTTAATATTACACTGTATGTTAACTAACTGGAATTTAAATAAAAACTTAAAGAAAAGATGAAGGTCCAAGATTTATAAAAAGGAGGCTATTGAAAGGCTAGCCTCTGAAAGGAAGTGTGTATGCGTGAATATATGTGCATTATGTGCCTGCACAAAAATTTTTTTAGATAGCCACAAACTGATCTAAAAGTAAAAGTTATTGAAATTTGTCATGAATTTAATGGGAAACAAATAGTTTTAGGAGATTTCTTGTTATATCTTACTTGACCCATTGCTGTGACCTAATTTAAATTTCTGTTAAACTGTCGAGAAATTGACCTAATGAACTAAAAAGTGTATCAGCTCAGTCATAGTTTTCCTCACTCTCTCCTCTTGCACTGCCTGCTGTAGTTGTTTGGGTGTGTAGTGATGAAAGAAAAATACACAAAAGTTTATTCTTGAATGGAAAGGAGTAAAACTTCCCCTAGAAAATTTCCTACTACTTTTTTCCTTCTGATTTTTCTCCTTCAATTCCTTGTAGTGTTTCCTGTATGCAAAGCATTGCTGTGCTCAGTGCTGGAGAAATACAAAGCTATGTCTTAAGGAACTTACAGTCTGGTGTAGAAAATAGCCACGTAACGTTAACTGGACTTCCAGCATTATACAGTCAGTGCGAGGACTACGCTGTGCTGTCCGTGTGCTGAGAAGGAAGTCACTAATTTTGAGAGATGGGTGCTAAATTAAGGAGGACTTTTTTGAAAGTAGAGTATTAGAATCTTTACAACATAAATGATCTATTTTGGGAACTAAAAGAATAATGGCTTTTCTTTTGTTTTCTTAATAGACAAAGAATGCTCTTCAAGCTTTGATTGATAAGCACCAAAGAATACCAGGAAACATAATGAGCGCTTTGTTAGAACGTTTTCATAAAAAACAAAAGACCGACTAGAAAATGATTTAATACATTTATATTTTTATGTTTGTGTCTGGGGTACTGTCCTCTAAATTTCGTTGGTTCTATAATTAGTTTTTTTTTTAAATGTTAATAAGCATCCTAGACTTGAACTCGTTTGTTTAAAATTGTATTGTTGATTTTGTTTTTGCAATCAATTGTGTCAAATTTAAACAGTAATTCATTACATGCCTAATAATTCAGGAAATGATGTTTCTTTTTATAAATTCCTGATAATGTATGATAAACATATAGATTTTAAAAATTAAGTTTATTAATAACAGCAATTTAGGTTAAACAAACATTCCTAAGATAATGCATCTAATTTCTGTATCTGTTGCACTGAACTGATTTTGCAAGATGGCATAATTCAGTACAGACACTGAAGTTAGAGAAAAAATACTCTTTTATCTGTCCCTCATTCCTTTCATGACCTTGGGCGAATCATGTAATGTTTTTGTGCCTCAACAATTCACTTTTTAAAAACATGCTAATACTTTGTTGAGGAATATTATTTTAAATTCTTTTTTAAATTTTAAATTCTTTGTATTTGCTGTGACTGATAACTGTAGAACTGAAATTATAACAAACAACACCAAGAATTTTTAGACATTTATGTATATACTTGGTCCACATGATGTTTAAATTATTTCTTTAGGTATGATGTCAAGTTGCCAAGCACAATGGGAAAGATACACTGTTTTTCAAATTGAATAAAAGAGAAATTAGGAAAAGTAGAATTTCTAATAATTATTATTATTTTTAGTATTTTATTTTTTAACGAGAATCTGTAGATGTACCATATAGGGTATGCTGTGCATTGTCAGCTATGTAACATTTAATAGTATAAGGTTAAAAATCACTGTTATGCTCTGCATTTCGTATGTTAGAAGTTGATTCTAGGCTGATAAAAGCAGAACTAAGAAAGCTCTGCTTTTGCTGAATACCATGGCTTATTCAGTTTGACTTTGCAACCAGTCAAATGGTTTATTGTTTCAATAAAAATATACTTGAATGATAAATTTATGTGAACACAAAACTTTCTGAAAAATTAATGGCTTTTGATTTGTTGTCTCCTTGATATCTGAATTTTTAAAGTATTTAAATGGAAGAGAATCAGAAATCAAATGCAGTATCTTCCTCTTCCTTTTTTAGATATTAACTTACTTGGGTTTTTGTATCAATTTTTGTATAACAAGTATATATGTATGATATCTGTAATGTATGTAGAATTAAGCAACATAAAATAAAAGTAAAGTTGAATTGCAATTCATTTTCTTGTGAAATTGCATATGTGACTTTTTTTTACTTTAAACTAATTTTTTGTTTTACTCTTTATTCATTTTTCACCTGTAATCATGTTCATCTATCTCAGCCACAAAGAGTAAACCTTACTTTCTAATGTAATTAATATATTTTAATTTCAATTTCAATGAAAAGAGTCAATGATTATTTGAAGCTTTTTCCGCCCTCTAGCAGTAAGCTGTGTTTGTTTGAAATCAATAAATATTTCCAGAATGAATGAATAAATGATTATAAAACAAATGAGAATAATGTTTTGGGGCAACTATTGGTTTTTAAAAATGGAAGAATGATATTCATTGTTCGTATAGCAGAAGCTATTATTTTTTACAGTATTTAAGTTTTACGGCTTTAATTAAAACCTTGCTTTGTTCTCTGATAGAGTAACTGGAAGCCATCCTGTCTCACTCAGTGCAAGATCTTTATCTTTGCTTTTCGAATTTAAGTGTCGTTTAGAAGAATGAGGGAATACAATACGATCAAATAGAGAAATACAAGTAAAAGGGGATGTTCTTAACCCTTTTTGAGGGAGTGTTCTTTTTTTTTTTAAGATTTTATTTATTTATTTGACAGACAGATCACAAGTAGGCAGAGAGGCAGGCAGAGAGAGAGAGGAGGAAGCAGGCTCCCCGCTGAGCAGAGAGTCTGATGCAGGGCTCGATCCCAGAACCTTGAGATCATGACTGGAGCCCAAGGCAGAGGCTTTAACCCACTGAGCCACCCAGGTGCCCCTTGAGGAAGTGTTCTGATGGAAGTCTGATGGAAGCGAGGGACTCTCCAGAAGCATGAGCATGGAGCATACCTCTCTGGGAAATCTTTCATATCCTTTAAAAAAAAACTTTAACTTTGAAACATCATCAGATTTATAGAAAAGTTGCAGTAGTAGTACACAGTACTCCCATGTACTCTTCACCCAGACTGACTAATTGTTATGTCACATTTGTTTACCCACCCCTCCTCCTCTCTCTCTCTCTCTCTATAAATTTATAAATAATTTTTTCTTTTAAATTTTTTTCTTCTGAATCAACTGATAGTAAATTGCAGATACCATGCCCTTTACCATTACCCTTGATTATAAGGCCATCCATTCATAGCACCACAGAGCAATGATCAAAATCAGGACATTTATCATTGATACCTAGTATCTGATCTTAAGGCCAGATTTCAGTTTTACCTGTTGTCTCAATATCCTTTATATCAGTTTCTTTTCTTGATGCATGGTTCACAGCAGAATCACATACTGCATTTAGTTTACATATCTCTTTAAAACCTTTAATCTGGAATGATTGCCTAGCCCTTCTTTGTCTTTAATGATACTGACATTTTTAGAGAAGACTGTTTTGTAGATACCCTTCCCTCTGTTTTTGCATGATTTGATCCAGGTTATGCATTATTCTAGAAATACTACATAAATGGTGCTGTGCTCTTTCAAGCGTTTCACGTCAGGAGGCACATAATGTTGGTTTGTGTCATTAGCAATGGTAGTAACTTTGATCACCTGGTTAAAATGGCACCCACTAGGTTTTTTCCCTGTAAATTTTTCCTTTGTATTGAGCTCATGGAGAAATACTTACAGACTATGTAAATGTTTCTCATCACACTTTGACCCTCTAGTTTACCTTCCTTAAGTTGGCTATTTCCTGAAATAATTACTACTTTGAGGTTTTCAAAAGTGTGATTTTCTAACTCCGTTATTCTACATTTATTCGTTGGCATTCTAGTATAATAAAGAATTTTCCAATTTCTGCTCTTCCCACATACTTGATGTTATCGTTGTGGACACTGAGATTCATATTTTGTTCAAAGGAGTATTCTTATACTTTTAAGTAATTTAAATATGAGACCCTCTTAAGTTTATAGCATTTACGAAACTTTGAAATAATAGATATTTACAAGGGTAAGTGGGATGTTTTTGTATTTGTATATGATTACTATTTTTAAAATATATTTTTGTTACTTTTTTATTATAAAATGTGTATAAAGAATTTATCATTTTAGCCCTTTTTAAGGTATACAATTCATTGGCATTACATACATTTACAGTATTGTAGAACCATCACTACTACTCATTTCCGGAACTATTTCATCATCCCAAACAGCAATTCTATGTCCTTTAAATAATAACTCTCCATTCCCTGCTTTCCCCAGCCCTCGATAACCTCTTTTCCACTTTCTGTTTCTACGAATTTGCCCAATCTCTGTATTTTATATAAGTGGAATCATAATATTTATTCTTTTGTGTCTGGTTTATTTCACTTAGCAAAATTATTTGGTATCTTCTCTTACACTAGATAACATAGTTGAATTGCCAATTCTCCAATCTCCGACATCAACTGGGTTTCCTACAATTCCATTCAATTCTGACCCTAACTATTGGAGTGAGTTAACACAGACTCTACAAGGTAAGGCCTTAGTCCCATAAGGCTGTCTCCACTTCATGTACCAGTTGCAAATAGGGCCTCCAGGCTACCTCCACTTCTGCTCTGCCTGCTCTATGACGAATTTGGAGGTTTCCATGACCTTCTCCCATCCTCCCCTGCTCAGGTTGGATAATTAGTAGAACAACTCACAGAACTCAGGAAAATGCCATACTTAACAGTTTTATTATAAAGGATACAACTCAGGAACAACCAAATGGAAGAGGGCAAGGTATGGGAGTAGTAGGTGTGTCAAAGCTTCCATGTTCTCTCTGGGTGTACCACCTTCCCAGCATATGATGTGTTCACCAACCCAGAATTTTCCCCCAAACCTCATCCTGGCATCATTGATTGTCCTCTCTCCTCCTTGGAAACTGGGGATGGAGCTCAAAATTCTAACTCTCTAATCGCATAGTTTTCCTGATAACTACCCTCATTCTGAAGCTATCTAGCCTTTCCCCATCATATCCAACTAGGAGTCATTAGCATAAAACAGGTATTCCTATCACTCAGGAATTTACCAGGATTTTAGGAGCTCAGTGCCAGGAGCTAGGACCAACGACAAAATACATACATATTTTATTATATCACAACAATATTTTCAAGGTTCATTTGTGTAGCATATATCAGAATTTCATATCTTTTTATGGCTGCAAAATATTCCATTGTATGTATATAGCACATTTTGTTTGTCCAAAGTGGTGTTTCTACCCTTTGGCTATTGTAAATAATGTTGCTGTGGAGATTGGTATACAAGTATCTGTTTGATTTCCTGCTTTCAATTCTTTTTGATGTATACCTAGGAGAGGAATTGCTGGATCATCGTAACACCATGTCTAACTTTTTGAGGAACCACCAAACTAATCTCCATAGACTACCATTTTACATTCCCAATAGCAATGTACCAGGATTCCATTTTCTCCATATCCTCACCAACATTTGTTATTTTCTTTTTTTTTTTGAAAGTAGTGTATATTTTGTCCCTTAGTAGTTTTTCCTATAAAGTCCTCTAACTTGTTTCAAGACAGATTTTTTTTTTTTAAAGATTCTATTTATTTATTTGACAGACAGAGATCACAAGTAGGCAGAGAGGCAGGCAGAGAGAGAGAGGAGGAAGCAGGCTCCCCGCCAAGCAGAGAGCCCGATGCAGGGCTCGATCCCAGGACCCTGGGACCATGACCCGAGCCGAAGGCAGAGGCTTTAACCCACTGAGCCACCCAGGCGCCCCACATTTGTTATTTTCAATTTTTTTGATGATAACTATCCTAATGGGTATGAAGTGGTATCTTACTGTGGTTTTGATTTGCATTTCCCTAATGACATGATTTAATATCTTTTCATGTGCCTGTTGGCCATTTGCATATCATCTTTGGAGAAATGTCCTATTGAAGTCCTATTTTTGTTTTTAGAGTTCCTTATATATTCTGGATATTAATCCCTTATCGGTTATATAATTTGCAAATATTTGATCCCTATTCTGTGGGTTGTGATTTTACTCTTTTGATAGCGTCCTTTGTTGAAAAAGGTTTTTAATTCTGTTAAGACCTAGGGGTGACTGGGTGGTTCAGTCATTTGGGCCTCCAGCTCTTGATTTTGGCTCAGGTCATGATCCTTGGGGTCATGGGATCGGGCCCCATGTTGGGCTCCCCTCTCAGCAGGGACTCTGCTTGGGATTCTCTTTCTCCTTCTCCCTCTGCCCCTCCCCCACTCTCTAGAATGGCTAATAAATCTTTAAAAATTATTTTGTTGAGATCTAATTTATCTACTTTTTCTTTTGCTGTATTTACTTTTGGTGTCATATCCAAGAAATCATTGCCAAATCCAATATGAAGCTTTCCCCCTATTTTTTCTTCTGAGAGTTTTATGATTTTAGTTCTTAAGTTTAGATCTTTGATCCATTTTAAGTTAATTTTTGTGTCTGGTATAAAATTTAAACATTTGCCTGTGGCTGTCCAGTTTTCTAGAACCATTTGTTGAAAAGACTGTCCTTTCCATGTGTGGTCTTGGCACCCTTCTCATAAATCAAATGATCATAAATGCAAGTCTTTATTTCTGGACTCTATTCTGTTTCATTGACCTATATGTCTGTCCATATGCCATCACCACTGTTTTGATTACTATAACTTAGTAGTAAGTTTTGAAATCTAGAAGTATGAGCCCTTTTTGTTCTTTTTAAATATTGTTTTGTTTTGGTTATTTGGTTATTTGGTTATTTGGAATCCCAAAGATTCCATATGAATTTTAGGATGGGTATTCCTGTTTATGAAAAAAAAAAAAAAAAAAAACTATTGGGATTTTGTATTTGATTTTTGTATTTGATTTTGTATTTGATTTGTATTTAATCCATACATTGTTTTGGGTGGTGGTGTCGTCTTCACATTAAGTATTCAAAGAACAGGATACTTTCCATTTATTTATATCATCTTAGATTTCTTTCAGCAATGTTTTATAGTTTTAAGTGTTCAAGTCTTTACATTTTATTCTCTTTTATTCTATTAAATAATTGTTTTCTTAATTTACTTTTCAGTTGTTCACTGTTAATGTATAGAAATACAAGTGCTTTCTGTGTGTTAATTTTGTTTCATCAACTTTACTGATTTCATCTATTTAACAGGTTTTTTTGGTGGAATCTTTTTTTAAGATTTCATTTATTTGTGAGAGAGAGAGCATGCACAAGCAGGG